ATGGACTCCATAAGACCTCTGAACGTGTCCTGTGGTATGTGGCACCAAGACAATTAGCAGCAGTCCTGCAGGTTACGTGGTGAGGCATAGCCCACAAATGCTTAGTCAGATTGCGATCTGGGGAAATTGGAACACCTTGAATTTGTTGTCATGTTCCTCAAACAATTTTTCCTGAACAACTTTTGCAGCGTGGCAGGGTGCATTAATCTTCCAAAACATGCCACAGCCAGCAGGGATAAACACTATTGCCATGAAGGGATGTACATGACCTGCAACAATCTCTAGGTGGGTGGCAGTCCCGGACTGGCCATCGGGCATACCGGGCAAATGCCCGGTGGGCTGCGATGGCCGTGGGGCCGAGGCCGGCAGGGGAGATCACAGAATCTCCCCTGCCAGCCCCTGCAGGGCCAGCGCTATCCGAGCGCTGGCCCCGCTGTGTGCCCTCACCGGCCCAGAGGCAATTATAAGCGGCCGCAGGCTGGGGAGTGAGGCAGGAGAGAGGACCTGGTGGAGCTCTAGCCAGTAGCTCCGCCAGGTCCTCTCGCGGGATTCTGAGCGTGGCCGTGGTTACCACGGCAACACTCAGATCTTGCGAGAGAGAACTCTAGCCTGCAGGCTAGAGTTCACTCTCACCACTGGACCACCAGGGAAGGCAGCATGGCATCCACCTCCATGGCAACACGGCTCCTCCCCTCCCAGGCTAAAGGTAAGAAGGGAGGGAGGGGATATAACTTTTTTTAAATTTTTTATTAGTAATAAAAAAATATATTTAAATTTAAATAAAAAATACATTCACACTCACACTAACAGCCCCCTCACACACACAGCACCCCCAGACACACAAAGCACCCAGACACACACAACACCCCCAGACACACACAGCACCCCCAGACACACACAGCACCGAGACACACAGCACCCAGACACACAGCAAACACAGCACCCAGACACACACAGCTCCCCCAAAACACACACAGCACCCAGACACACACAGCTCCCCCAAAACACACACAGCACCCAGACAGACACAGCAGCCCCACACACAGCACCCTCAGACACACAGCACCCTCAGACACACACACACAGCACCCCCAAACACACACAGCACCCAGACACACACAGCACCCAGACACACAGTGCACCCAGACACCACACAGCACACAGACACACAGCACACCCAGACACACACAGCACCCAGACACACACAGCACCCAAACACACACAGCACCCCAGACACACACAGCGCAGACAGACACAGAACCCCCAGACACACACAGCACCCAGACGGGCACGCTGCCCCCCAGACACACACAGCACCCCAAACACACACAGCACCCAGACACACAGGCAGCACCCAGACACACACACAGCACCCAAAGACACACACAGCAGACACACACACAGCACCCAGACGCACACAGCATCCAGACACACAGCACCCAGACACACAGCACCCAGACACACACACAGCACCCCCAGGCACACACACAGCACCCCCAGACACACACAGCACTCCCAGACACACACACACAGCACTCCCAGCACACGCAGACACTCACAGCACACGCAGACACACACAGCACCCCCAGACACACATAGCACCCAGACATACAAGCGCACCCAGACACACTGCACACCCAAGCACAGCACCCCCAGACACATACACACCCTCAGACACACACAGCACCCCCAGACACACATCACAAACACACAGCACCCAAACACACACAGCACCCCCAGACACACACAGCACCCCCAGACACACAGCACACACCGACACACACAGCACCCAGACACACACAGCACCCAGACACACACGGCACCCCCAGACACACACAGCACCCAGACACACACAGCACCCAAACACACACAGCACCCAAACACACACAGCACCCAAACACACCCACACCCAGACACACACAGCACCGTCAGACACACAGCACCTTCAGACACACACAGCACCCTCAGACAGACAGCGCCCTCGCTCACACACACAGCACACTCCCACACATATACAGCACACACACACACACATATATATATATATGTATATATATATATAACCCTCAATGAGTTAACAGACAAAGAAAATTAGAAACCTAGAATGTGACAGCAGATAAAAACACCCTCACACACAGCACCCCTCTTACATACACACACACACACACACACACACAATCTCCTATACACACTCTGGGTCCTTTACACACTAGATCTCCTACACACACACACACATTGCACTACCTACACACACACTACATTCCTTGTCAGCAAACACATACAACATTCTCTAAAAACACACCCTCTCTACAACCCCTACACACACTACATCACCTATACACACACACTACAGCTCGTATGCACACACTCGCTTCATCCCCTACAACACTATGCCCCCTCTATACACACACTCTCTACAGCCCCTAGCCACACATATTACACCACAAACACAAATTAAATTGACCTATTTACACAATATTACACCACACTCTACACACACGCAATCCCACAAGCAGGCTCCAAACGCATGCACCATACACTTTCCTGGCCCTTTTGTCCTCTGGTATCCCACTTGTGGAGACACCAGAGACAATTTAAAAGCAAACACAGCGCAAGCATGTTATTACATTTAGAACAAACACAAATAAGGTGTGGTAAACCAATGGCGCTTTGTGATATAAGATAGAAAGTTTTTTAGTTCAGCTGCTATAGGCACTCAGTGGATACTCCAAAAACCCACTATAATAGATAGACACCAAAGCAAACATATACTTAAACAGTGAGTGGGTACAAAAAGACCTTTTTACTATTCAGTAAATGGTGCAGCGCTGTGAGTGTGATATCAGAACAAGTGAAATATACACTGTACACTTACCCCTCACAACAAACAGGGGATATTCATGTAAAATAAACAGAGAAAAAAGTATATAGGGTAATATTGTTTGGTATGAATTATAATTGGGTAAAATACATTGAATGGAAACAAACTCACATTTAATAGAGCCTTTTATGGGGATACAGGCTCTAAACACTTCTGCATCTGTTCCTTTAAGGTAGGCAACAGCACCTAAATGGTGAACTTTGTTCCTCTTTTTCCAGCGAGTAGTTTATCTCCCAAAAAGATCAGAAAAGAGAGAAGACTCTGGGTGCAGATTAAACTTAAAACATTGGTGCACAATATAAAACAGTAATCAGTGCTCACCTACTAGAGAGCCTTTTAATAACTGGCTCTAAGTATAAAAGGTATGTGTGTCAAATTTGGCAGGCTGACACTACCCACAACCGGATCTAAGGAGCATAAGTAGGAGGTAGATGTGAGTATATAAAAATAGATTTATTCAAAACATATAAAATCAAAATGCATATATGTATAAAAAATAGTAGACAATAAATACGTCAAAGCTTCCTCCTCTCCTCTCGTACCAAGACGCATTTAGCCTTTAGTGTCGGCTTCCTCAATTGGTATATTGCTCTTCCCTCATTGTCCGGTTTTTAAATGGCGGGGATTTGGAACATTCAAAAACCGGACATTGAACGAAGAACAATTCAGGGCCTTTTTCTAATGCCAGAGCTCTTCAGCGGGGCTCTGCGCA